CGTTCATATGCACAAGGAAGCAGGAATAATCTACGCCTCGGACATACCTATATATAAAACTTTACATTTGTATATGCTACTCACTAGTTTACAGTAGCTATATTTACAGTGGATATATTATGTACCCAAGAGGCAATTCTGAATGCTCACACGCACACGTTAAAGTTTGACACAAAAGAGCCCATCTCACGCCACGTTAACACACCTGCGGCCAAATTTGTACATATTACTCACTGTTTTATAGTGACATATTTTATGTTGGATATTTCATGCATATTGTTTTCAATAGAGTCTTCAAAGGCATTGCCTACTACCCTAAATATACTGAACTATACTGAACTAAATCAGAACTACGCCTACTGAAATGCACTTAGTAGGCATTTAAGTACGTTGTAAAAATAACATCCACTACCAGTGATACTTCTGGCAACGTTCTAAACCGGAATTCGGGAATTTCGAGAAGATAAACCAGGGGAGTAAAATTCTCGGAAACGTCCCTGAATTTAAAGTTATGACGTTAAAAAGACTTACACAAAAACGTATGTCCGTTGGTGCACAAAGGTGCTGCCAAGCTTGAAGGGGTCCATATTTTGTGGTGGGGCTGTACCACGAGGCTTGAAGGACCATTTGACCTCGGCCTCGGGAGATGATGAGCGGTCAGTGCACTGGAGCATCAGTTCGTCATCCAGTGTCACAACCTTCTGTTCCGAGCTGTAGATGGCCGGTTTTGCTGAAACAGACAGAAGTGATTGACAGGAGCGTGTAGTAAAGTCAAAAGCTATCACAAGTTGTTTATAGGCGGGTATCATACATTGAACTGTACAAGTCCGACAGTTGAAAAAAAACTAACCCATTCTCTTCAAGTTCAATTCCGCGGTCTTGATTAATTCGAAGTTATAGTCGCGCAAAGTGAGAGTCACATAGCAGCGGTATTTGCCTTCATTTTCAAAAGAGGTTGAGTCAGCGAGGAAAAGGAGTTGGTCCGATGGGGGATAAATGGGGGACACTGATGTACATTCCTCATCTTCGCACTGTTGAAAAAAATGCGCGTTTTTATCAAAAGGTATACTGACTTCACGATGGCAGAACATATTATTTAACGACCAAAGTCGTAACATCGAATGCTCCTTACCTTCTCCCACGCAACGTTTACATCTCCGGCCGTATGCTCAGGTCTACAAGATACAGCGTAGTCGTGGGTCGCATTGTAACTGTCCTCTGCGGGAACACCAAGCAGGGGTTCTTGGGTCGGCTTTTCTCGGAGCAATTTAATTTCAGTCAGCATTGGCCGCCCTAAGGACAAAGTAATTTAAAGGCTGTAAAGCAGTTCATCGCACTTGACTAATGTGGGTTTACAGGGAAAATAATAATTGTCTATTCAAAAAATGTAAGCTCAAGAGTAAACAAACCAAGGTAAACAATTACAACCAGGATCTACTTGAAGTCCCAATTTGTATAAGAGACGGCCGTTCATTTCCAGAGTGCGCAATGCCAGCTCGGAGCTTTGTTGGTGTGAGGTAAAGTGAGCATAATCTTAATCCATCAAAGATAATTATTTGAAAGGGATACTAAGGTACTATTTGTGCATAGAATATGCAAGCAACAGCACCCCTCCAAGCCAAAGCTAATGCAAAAAGTTAAGTTTGAAACGTACGGTGAACATTGACTGGGAAGGCCCGAGAACTGATTGCGTAGGTTTCGTTGTATTTGGCGACACATCGTAGGGCGTAGGAGACCGAGGTTTGTCTGGGCTTAGTGTCGGGCACCAGCAGACCATCCAGAATCAGCTGTTTGGAGGAGTGTCCCCTCACCAGTGCGGCAATGTCACCTTCCCTGAACTCATGGGTCCAGCCCGCACCTGGATAATTGACTTCCCACAGATAGCCTTGGGGTTCAACCAAATTTCCGTCCTCGGCATCTGTGACGTAGGAAGGAGGACAGAAAAGGGAGGATGCAACACACGGTATAACGACAGACAAGGTAAAGGGCTCGTGCGATCTCAGTGCATTTACGACAGTTCGACCATCGGATCCGAGGTAAACCGTGTGCTCTACAGCAAGCTAGCGCAGGGACAGTAATTTGTGCAGGAATTAGCCTTAAGTGATGGTAGAATCTAGCTGAGTCTAACACTCCCTTCTTTCACCCGCTTGTGCCCGGTGTCAAGGAAGAGTCAAGAAAACTCGAGTGGAAATGGGACCCAAGTGGCTGGCTTGGAGTACGCCCGCACCTGAGCGTGCAACCATACTCCCCATGTGCGACATTTGTTAGGGGAGCGCATCCCAAATAACACCTGGCATGTCCTGATCTAGCCCTTGTGTTCGTCCAGCGCATCTATCACATAACCCTTTTAGCGGGCACTGAGTGCATTAAAAATCTCTCGAACACAGTCTCAGAAAGAAAAAAAAGCGAAAAAATTTCCAGACACTTAAAAAACTGTTATAATAAGTATGCCAAAACCTTACAATTTTAGAAAAACTGGTTAAGTGAACCTCATCCAACTGGGGAACAAAGGAGAATGGCATGTGCTACACAGCCTGTTTTTTTTAATGGGCACAGGAGCACATGGTCGAAGTAACTTCCTTAGGTGTAAAATGCAGAGTATAATTTTTCGAAATAAAGTCGTAATCAACTGCCGCATAAAGTAGAGCAAACATACAGACACTTACCGTGTACATAGCAAATTAATTCTCTCTTCTCCTTCTCAAGGGCAAAGATGGCAGTTCCCGACGTCTCATCAAAGACTTGAACCTTAAAACGCTCTTTTACGCCTGGGGAGTAAAATAAATAATAAAGTATATTAGCCGGTGTTTCGCGTTTCAAAGTGGGCTGCTCAAGCAAAAATTCAATTGAAGGTTATTCGTTTTAGTACTCCAGTACATTCCCAAATAGAGTGTGCTGGACTGATAAGGCCGTTCGATCAACAACAGTTTACAAGATGTGCTAACGTGTGCCGTCCTCCGCCTACGTCCAAGGAACTATCCTATATCTGATAACCTATTGATATATTACCTGAAAAACACACAACTTCCCGTAGAATCTTCGCAAAAACATCGATATTTAGATGCAGAGCAATCTGAAGGCATCATTGCAACGTGCAGGCTTTTCAAATTGAGCCGCCGTTTTTTCCTCCCTCTATTCGCATGTAAATTTTCTTATATATACATCGATTGACCTACTTCGCCCATTTTACACCGAGTTTTTTCCTCTTTGTT